TTTTTGTTGACCTTTGTCCATGGAAGGTCCCTGCAAAATTTCATTGAAATTGGTTCAGGGGTTTTGGAGAAGAAGTCGAAAATGTAAATTGTTTACGGACGCACGACGGACGAAGGACGACGGACGACGACGGACAAAAGGCGATCGCAATAGGTCACTTAAGACTTTGTCTCAGGTGACCTAAAAAGCAAAACCTATTGCAGTAAGTATGATTTTAAACCGTAGATTGGAGGATATGGGAAATTAGTATACAAAAGTCCAACACCTGCCAGAAGTAAACCTATACTATCCTTTAGCATACAGACTCCAGAGTCTGACATCATCACCAATATAGCTATAGCCACCTCTCTCCTACAAATGACACCTAGAGATTACGTTTATTTCTCCTCAGACTAACAAGTTGCTCCCTGTAGCTGCAGTAAAGTGCAGAACAATTACAGAATTCCAGGCAAATATTACATGTACAGCTCTAGTCCTAGTCGTTAGCATTTGTATCCCAATACACAGCAACTTTCTAACACTAGCTGTGCTTATTCAACAACCTGTTCCTACATGGATTGGGAAAATAGCCCAAACATCATTTTTATTGACATTGGAAGGATATTCCTCATTATTTCTTCATTCTAGGGAAGCAGCCTGTAGCTGGCTGTAAAACTGGGCAAAAAAAATCACTGACCTCAAGACTTAATATAACAGCCAACTCTTTTATCTAATTATAACATTCTCTGAAATAAATTAGTTAAATATTTCACACCAAATAATCATCATAATTCATGGAAAGATTACCATAAGGAAGAGCAATGAAATGAGGTAAAGTTCTGTTAAATTTTCATCAGTTAATTATCAATATAATCTCACAAGACAAGAATGATCCCTGTACAAACAGCAATACATATGTTTGTAGTTATGGTATTTGAAATACATGTACCTGTCTTTTGGAATAGTCAGTTTAGTAGCTATGAATTCCCCAATGGCCTCTGCAAAAGAATTATTTCTCTCTGTACCAAGGTTGATGCTGTACAGTTCCACACTACCACAGGGATCGGTTGTCCCTCCATGAGACATCAGCTGGTCGGGGTGATAACGCACAGTCACATACTGCAACACATCATAGAAGGGTCAGAATCTGCAATAGAGCATAGTCTTAAAACAAAGTGGCAACCTGTGTTAATTCATTCACCCCTGAAGACACATTTGAGCTCTTCCCATTCAAAGGTTGGTATAGTTCATTATGAAATGTCAGGGGTGAATGAGTTAAATAATAATAGTGGTCACTTTAACTTTAGTTATATACCTAATCCTATTATCACAAAGGCCCTGAAGAAAGACGCAAAACTGAGATTGCTGATTTGAATCAAACTGAATATTTTGTGCCCCGAAAGGAATTTGACATTTTTGGGTTATGAGGAAAATTTATATAATATTTACAAGCAAAAAAGTCGAGTCATAGAGTTTGGAACTTATGCACTATAGGCAATAGGTCTATGTGATGTATATTCCTTACACACTTCTATTCTACTCTCTTATAACACCATTTAAATGTCCCACTTAGCAAATTCTTCTTACAATTTTTTTCCGTTGAAAAATGGCCTTAGTGTCTCAAATGCAGATACTTGATTTAAGACGGGCATTACATGGAACTGTCAACTTTAGACTTGAAGGTAAAACAACATCATTTGAGGTAGACCAGGAAATTTGGAAACAAAAAACACAAAAAGAAAAAGACACATATTTTAGTACCTTTTTGGCCAAAAGAAAGAATATTACCCGCGAAAGCAACTTTGCTAAGGCTTCAGGCACAGACTGCTTGTGACCAAAGCCGAGGCAAACCTGTGGCAAAAAGTCATGGCGTCAAAGGAAAAGACAAAAATCTGAAAGATCATGATCAAGAACAGTAAAAAAAACCAATAGGCCAGTTCCATGAGTGTTGGGTCACAAGTATGTACTGTACAGGGAATTTTATGTTACGTCTTCATTTCATTTCCCCATTTCTCTTATGCTACATATTTATAGATTATTGTATTGGTGAATCACATAGCTTTTCGTAAATGGACATGTTGTGTCATTCATTAGTTTAATTCTATTTAATGTCATAAATTCTTCATTCCCCATTTTCCTTACACTGTAGGTTATTTTATGGTGTTGTTTAAGTTCCAAGTATTTAGGATATATGTTTTTCCATTATTTACGTATATAAGAAAACCTGATCCACTTAATTTGGTTTATTTTTTCATTTTTTATCTTACTTGTTGATTTCCTTTTATTTTTATCATATCGTTTTCATTACACACTTCCCTATACAGATGTTTTATCTCAATATTGTATCAACTTATTGGTTAAAATTGTGAGAACTTGTTCAAATAATATTTTTTTCAACAATTCTTTTATTCCATAATCGTCGGAGGAAGGAAAACATTTGAAGATGAAGAATTTTATGTTTTATGTATTGCAAATGTATTTTCACATGTTTTAACAATCTTATTTATTTTCATGGTTGTATTTGTAATCTATGTATATATGTGTTATAATATGATTATCAAAATAAATGGTTATGATAAAATAATCTGACTGCGAGTCTTTTTAAAAAAAAGTGTTTAACAATGCTGTCATCTGTAATAAAGGTTCTGGGTTGTTTCGCTCCTAATCCCGTTCGCCGTAGGTTGTTTCGCGCCAGGTTGTTCCTACAGAATGAGAAGGATTTTAAAGAATTTGCTATGTTTCTCCTATTGGGCCCGCCCCTCAGCCCCCTGGAGGGGCTAGACCCACCATTTATACAAAATTGGTTCCACTTCCCCCAAGGATGCTTCTGACCAAATATGGAACAAATCCTTTCATTCCTACAGAAGAAGGAGGATTTTAAAGAATTTGCTATATTTCCCCTATTCGGCCCCGCCCCTGAGCCCCAGGGGGCCAGACCCACCATTTATACAAAATTTGTTCCCCTTCCCCCAACGATGCTTCTGACCAATTTGGTCAAAATCTACTGGGCCGTTCAGGACAAGTAGCTTTTTAAAGGAAAAGTTGACGGACGGACGACGGATGCTGCGCCATGGCTTAAGCTCACTTGCCCTTTGGGCAGGTGAGCTAAAATTGGTGTAATTTTAATTACATTGCGGGGTATACAACAATATTATTTTTCCATGTTTACACATTTAGTCTAGTGTACACATAATCGTCGTCGTGTGACGATGTTTTCTTTACTTGATTTCGACGCACGTGCATGTTGTTTTTTGTTAATTGGAGGAGATCATTTTGAGAAGTTTTGATAGTACCGACCAATAAAAACTAATATGCATATTTGAGTAAGTAACTTGTCATAAATAGGGCATTTCTCAATACTGTGTTATAATTCAACATTACGTTAAGGATGATTTATGCATTTTGTGCGACTCCGTTGTTAGACGCAGACAGCATGGTATCTCATGTGATGTGTGTGACCGTTGGCAGCATTAGAATAAGTATTGTACATTACGTATACGTATATATGTAGAAATTAATTTAGTTTCATTATATGTCCCTATCTTATCTATATATAATGTGCAGTATATACCGGATATTAGTATGTACAGGTTCGTTCTTAATCTTCCGGCACGTAATTATACGTATATTATATCTGGGTTCAAGAGAAAGATAAGTTTTTTTTAACTTTTAACATGATATTTATGACTTAAAGATTTATTTTTTCAGGGCGAAACAACCTGGGGCGAACGGGATCGCGATGCAAGGGAGGTAACACATATAACATATTCTCGTAGATGCAGAAAATTAGGTTACTACATCATAATATTAACTGAATATTTTTTAATAGTCGTCTGTGGTCTTATTTGGATGTTTTAAGGTGTTTTTGTGTGTTTTTTGGTAAATCGTGCCAACCCCCCGTAAATCTCGCGTCGCAAGAATAATGACACGTAAATGCATGGCTTGTTACCTTTTCCGGTTTCCCTAACAAACTTGCAATAAATTTTGAAGCATCAAGGAGAAACTGTGTTGCCTCTTCTTTTCCTGACGATTTATTGGTGTAAACTGTGAAAATCGGCATTTTATAGGCTAGAGCTCTTTGAGTCGTGACCGTCCACGCAAAAGGTCGCTTAGATACGTAAGAAAAATAAACAAAAAAAATGATATCATGTATTAAATATTTTTTTTGTAAAAATATGTCTACACAATAAACGCATCAATTAAATATATTTTTGAGGCAAATTCACCCAGCTTAATCTCTATCAAGAAGTAAACGTGGAAACGTGTCGATTTTTTGCCATTTGCATAAGCGATGATTGCATCTTGGTAGAAAAATGACAACTGTTTGTTGACAATGTCTGGTGGAGCATTTTCAATAGATGACGCGTTTGATTCGGATGATGATGACAAGATTCGACTGTATGGATCGACCAAGGAAACGGCTCCTTTGAGGACGGGACCAAAGATTCGCCCTCAAGTCAGTAAACCCATACGACTCGTGTAGATTGCTGAGATTTATTGAATCTTTCGCCAATATATTGCAATTCACTTGAAGCATTTCTTTTAATGTTATTAACCGAACTGATCAGTTTTTCATCATTAACCGTGACTGGGAATTAAACAAGTCCCGATAAAATTTATATTTTTTTTTATTGTTATAATTGCAATGCGACTGCTTCCAGTATATAGTGTCCTTGTCACTAATCAATAGGTCATGTTAAAGTGTGCTTCATCTGATGATGTAATTGGGTACGTACCCGGTAAATGTTGTTGACTACCAGTCAGTAACAATTGTAACATTGTTTTGGGGACATATACAATTCACAGTATGTTTGCAATAAATGTTTCAATCACTTTTCACGCTGCTAATTGTTTATCAATAATGGAATAGTATGCCAATCAATATGTGTGTTAGCTAGATTTGCTAAACAAATAGTAGCTGTAGTAAAATTAAATCATACAGCTCTGTGTATATCAGAATGATATGGACTTTTTCGTGACTTTCCTGAGTGGTATTCAAACTCAAATAGTAGCCATGCATTAGTTGCAATAACGTACCTTCTGACCATAAAAGGAAACAATTTATAAGTTGTGTGTCAAGTTAAGTTAATGTTGCACACCTGCTAATTCAGAGGCAGCATAGGGCAAAGAGCTTGAAGGATATTAAATACAAGCTTGCATATACACGTTAATGGTCGTGGAACTGGACTGGGCAACCAGGTAGCTCAATTGGTTATTATATTAGTCTAGAGTTTGGAGGTCCCAGGTTTGAATCCTGATATGGCTGTGCATTGTTTTCTCCTGGTACATTTGAGCGCCTAATGAAATAATATACCCATAGACGGGTCTCGTGTGTCCTTGTTGGGATCAAAGACTTTGTTGAAGGAGGGAGGAATGTAGCAGGGTTGTTTGTTATTTTTTGTTAAAAATATCATCAAGCCCATATCAAGTTTTAATTTGAAACAATCATTAAACAATTGCAACTGAATGGCTTATTTTTAGTTTTTTTTTTATCAATGCCCAGCCCAATATAGGGTGATTGTATCGACAACTGTGAATTTTGCCTGACCTTTACACTTATCCAGAAAAAAGTGTCTCTGTCCAGCATCGTGATAGTTCCACTAACCAGTCTAGCATCATGATTTTGCATCCTCATGAAAACTGTAAGGATATTGTTCTTCAGATAAGGCCCCCCCGCNATATTTAGTACAAATATGTCATCTTTTAGAATCACAGTACTTTGTTTCAATTTTTTTTAAAGCAAAAAACATCAACATTTAAATGCATAACTTTACAACCTTGAGAAAAATGTCAAAGATTAAGTACACCAATACCAGACACCAAATCTCCAACTCACAGGGTGCAATATATCGCCTATAGTTGTTTCTTCAAACAGAATTAATTTTATGGGTTGGTGTCCAATTTATTGGGACATTTTACCCCATAGTAAACACAGTGTACAATGACTTTGTTGACAGTGATGTACAGCAGGTGTCCCTATTATGGTCTACAGTGATTGGTCGTCATATGTTGTCATTATTATTGTTGACACTGATGTACAGCAGGTGTCCCTATTATGGTCTACAGTGATTGGTTGTCATATGTTATCATTATTATTGTTGACACTGATGTACAGCAAGTGTCCCTATTATGGTCTACAGTGATTGGTTGTCATATGTTGTCATTATTATTTTGCTACAGAATGATGAAGATGAACATTCCAAAAAATCCACAAATTCAAAAGAATCAAGAACAAGAGACGCTGGGTATGTACATTTGATTTGTATCAAGTATCTGTTACCGGTAACTAGTCGGCAAATAAATATAAGTACCAACTTACAGGTGATGCTTTAAGCATGTTGTGATTAATTCCTCCTGTTTATTAGCTTACCTGGTCCGAAGGACCATAGTGAGCTGATGCCATGACGCAGCGTCCGTCGTCGTCTGTCGTCAAGTTTTTCTTTAAAACCTATCTCCTCCTAAATGCCAAAGAAGATTTCAACCAAATTTAGTCTGAAGCATCACTAGGGGAGCGCAATCATTTCCTAAATAAATGAGGTTGGTTTGACCCATGGGGCCAGGAGGGTGGGGCCCTTAAGGGGAACTTAGCTAAATTTGCTTTAAAACGCATCTCCTGTTAAACGCCAGAGAGGATTTCAACCATATTTATTCTGAAGCCTCAGTAGGGATTTGCAATCATTTCTTAAATAAACGAGGTTGATTTGACCCCTGAGGTCAGGGGGGCGGGGCCCTGAAGGGGAACTTAGCTATATTTGCTTTAAAACGCATCTCCTGCTAAACGCCAGAGAGGATTTCAACCAAATTCAGTCTGAAGCATCACTAGAGGAGGGCAATCATCTATTAAATAAATGAGGTTGGTTCGACCCCTGAGGCCAGGTGGGCGGGGCCCTGAAGGGGAACTTAGCTTAATTTGCTTTAAAACGCATCTCCTGCTTAACGCCAGAGAGGATTTCAACCAAATTTAGTCTGAAGTATCACTAGGGGAAGGCAATCATTTCCTAAATAAATGAGACTGGTTCGACCCCTGGAGCTAGAAAGACCGGGCCCCAAAGAGGAAAATTATCTAATATTTTGCTTTAAGACACTAATATCCCCTAATTGCCTGAGTGGATTGTACAAAATTTGGTCAAAAACATGATTGAGGAAGAACAAACAATTCTTAATTGAATAAGGTTGATTTGACCCCTGCGGTCCTAAGAAATGGTACAGCTTCATGTAGATTATCATATTCTATGGTGTAGTTTTCATAAATTGTTAAAAATTTGTGTCTAGGTTTATAAAAGCTTATACATGAATGAAGATTAAAGTATTGTCTAATTACACCCTGTAATATGACTTATTACTTATTTCAAAATCTGTCAACATGGCAACTCAATGGAGACCCCTGATTAATAGAAAGTCAGATAGTGTGGTCCCAGTTGGGTTAGAACATAGATCTTGTCTGGTTTTGAGGAAATTTCATATAAAGATGTACAAATGCATTCAGTTGTAATGACTTAAGTATAAAACCAGGTGAGCAATACAGGTCCACTGGACCTCTTGTATTTAAGTATCTGTTACTTTATAAATATATTTGTATATAAAGAGTAATATGTATATTTATTACATTTATGTCAGTGAGATATCAAATCTTATCAACTTGATAAAAATGATATCTTTTCACACTGTGACAGGTATCAAATTAAAGTGTTCTTTCTATTCACTTCATTCAAAGCTGCAGACTTTCTGTTCAGATAAAGCGGTTGCTTTTGGTATATTGCACTACATTTGTATTTATATAACCATATCTTACCAAATAATAGCAAAAACGGTAGAATTGTGTTAAGTACCCCTTTTAAAATGGAGCACAACCATGCTGTCAAGCATGATGTCTTTAGAATATGATGCTATTATATCCCCAACTGTTTTGTTGCAGAAAAAAAGTCATCATTATAGATAGTTATAAAATGTTATAAATACAAAAAAAAATATTGTTTTCCTGTTTAATACTCTTTATGTTTCACTCGTTTCTATAGCAGAATATAGCATTATTTTCATATGTGCTTTGAACATGGGAAAAATATTGATATTCTGCTGTACTTGTGAAATATATGTATTGTATTCAGACAATGGGAAGCCTTCTAATATCCTCTATATATTTAGTTATCATGTATTTGTGTCAGAGTAGTATGGCAACATACATCTTTGTGTTATTGAATTACTAAGATAGAAATATATAAATCAATCATTATTGTATTTTCGTCCACATCTACTCATGAACTAAAAAAAAAAATGACTAAGTATATATGGGCCTGTTTGAAATATACTATATATCAAGCATCAATCATAAAACAAAATGGATTAAATTAGTACAATGGTGGTTTTTTTGCTAATGATTTGATTTGGGTGTATATATATACGGGTACTGTCTTAACTGAGATATCACTGTAAGTTTTCCCCGTATATTACAGGAATTCCAAGCTAGCTACAACACGTTCTACACATTCCTTGTCAAGTACATGGTCGGACGACACACGGGTATCAACAAGGTCCTTCTCTGATGGCAGCAGGTAGGTGCTACAGAATTCAACTGAGTAGGAAAGCTATAGCAAACAAAACTAATTCTAACAATGACATTTATTGTCCCTTTAACTCCAAGCCATTTCCAGGTCTAGGAACAGTTTAGTTTGAATTTATAGTATTTCAAGTTTTACATAAAAGGTTAAACATTGATGCCATACTATTGTGTTAAGTTATTGTTAATTGTGGTGAGCTTTAATTGTGTTAAGTTATTGTTAATTGTGGTGAGCTTTGATTGTGTTAAGTTATTGTTAATTGTGGTGAGCTTTAATTGTGTTAAGTTATTGTTAATTGTGGTAAGCTTTCAAGTTGATTATTTTTCAGATGGTGGCGACATCCTAAGATCAGAGACAACTGTAGGGTAGTGGCCGGATCTATCGCCCTCACAATAATTGGACTAGGTAAGTCACACAGAGGTCATGAGTCACACAGGTCATCATTCACAGAAGTCATAAGTCACACAGAGGTAATGAGTCACACAGGCACAGAGGTCATCATTCACAGAGTTCATAAGTCACACAGAGGTAATGAGTCAAATAGGCACAGAGGTCATGAGTCACACAAAGATGTCATGAGTCACACAGGTCATCAATCACAGAGTTCATAAGTTACACAGAGGTCACATGTATGGATGGCACATGCTGTTTGTCACACACAGATAACAGGCTCATGTTGGTTTTCCCACTATTATTTGACTATGTTTGGTATCAGGCTTCCTAACAGCGCTTTCTCCAGGTTAAAAAAATGGGAGGTTTGTCGTGGGGGAGGGACTGGGTAGGGTTGGGGAAGAGGGTAGCATTAGAAGTAGTATAAAGGCAAAATTTCAAAATTTACATAATTCCCCTCATACCATCCTTGGAAAAAAACTCTTTCATTTTCCATTTGAAAGTATAATTAAGAAAACTTAAGTAATTCAGTTGCACCATATAGGTATGTCTCTTTATGATAAATTGGTATGTTTTTGATATTTAGACAAACACAGATACCCTTTAACATCAGTGACTTTATGTAAATGTGTTCACCTTAAAAGGCCTCTACCATCGAGCATTAAGATTGACTGAGGCTGTTAAGATCATTGTAACACCAGTATATCTCATAATATAGGGGGTAAGAAAGGATTAGAGCATTGGATTTAAACTGATGTAAATATAGGCAAAACTCACATATGCCAGGAATATATTTGTATTTAATATTTGGTTTTTGATATTGTAAGCTAACCAAAAATAGTAGATTTGTATGATGATCAATTTATATATGATAAATTTGCTATGAGTGTAACTTTTTTCAAAGTTCTTTTTTTGGTGTTTGTGACATTGTCATCCTTTATAACAAAGACAATGATATCATATAATCTATTGCAGTGTTATGTGTTTGTGACATTGTCATCCTTTATAACAAAGACAATGATATCATATAATCTATTGTAGTGTTATGTGTTTGTGACATTGTCATCCTTTATAACAAAGACAATGATATCATATAATCTATTGTAGTGTTATGTGTTTGTGACATTGTCATCCTTTATAACAAAGACAATGATATCATATAATCTATTGTAGTGTTATGTGTTTGTGACATTGTCATCCTTTATAACAAAGACAATGATATCATATAATCTATTGTAGTGTTATGTGTTTGTGACATTGTCATCCTTTATAACAAAGACAATGATATCATATAATCTATTGTAGTGTTATGTGTTTGTGACATTGTCATCCTTTATAACAAAGACAATGATATCATATAATCTATTGTAGTGTTATGTGTTTGTGACATTGTCATCCTTTATAACAAAGACAATGATATCATATAATCTATTGTAGTGTTATGTGTTTGTGACATTGTCATCCTTTATAACAAAGACAATGATATCATATAATCTATTGTAGTGTTATGTGTTTGTGACATTGTCATCCTTTATAACAAAGACAATGATATCATATAATCTATTGTAGTGTTATGTGTTTGTGACATTGTCATCCTTTATAACAAAGACAATGATATCATATAATCTATTGTAGTGTTATGTGTTTGTGACATTGTCATCCTTTATAACAAAGACAATGATATCATATAATCTATTGTAGTGTTATGTGTTTGTGACATTGTCATCCTTTATAACAAAGACAATGATATCATATAATCTATTGTAGTGTTATGTGTTTGTGACATTGTCATCCTTTATAACAAAGACAATGATATCATATAATCTATTGTAGTGTTATGTGTTTGTGACATTGTCATCCTTTATAACAAAGACAATGATATCATATAATCTATTGTAGTGTTATGTGTTTGTGACATTGTCATCCTTTATAACAAAGACAATGATATCATATAATCTATTGTAGTGTTATGTGTTTGTGACATTGTCATCCTTTATAACAAAGACAATGATATCATATAATCTATTGTAGTGTTATGTGTTTGTGACATTGTCATCCTTTATAACAAAGACAATGATATCATATAATCTATTGTAGTGTTATGTGTTTGTGACATTGTCATCCTTTATAACAAAGACAATGATATCATATAATCTATTGTAGTGTTATGTGTTTGTGACATTGTCATCCTTTATAACAAAGACAATGATATCATATAATCTATTGTAGTGTTATGTGTTTGTGACATTGTCATCCTTTATAACAAAGACAATGATATCATATAATCTATTGTAGTGTTATGTGTTTGTGACATTGTCATCCTTTATAACAAAGACAATGATATCATATAATCTATTGTAGTGTTATGTGTTTGTGACATTGTCATCCTTTATAACAAAGACAATGATATCATATAATCTATTGTAGTGTTATGTGTTTGTGACATTGTCATCCTTTATAACAAAGACAATGATATCATATAATCTATTGTAGTGTTATGTGTTTGTGACATTGTCATCCTTTATAACAAAGACAATGATATCATATAATCTATTGTAGTGTTATGTGTTTGTGACATTGTCATCCTTTATAACAAAGACAATGATATCATATAATCTATTGTAGTGTTATGTGTTTGTGACATTGTCATCCTTTATAACAAAGACAATGATATCATATAATCTATTGTAGTGTTATGTGTTTGTGACATTGTCATCCTTTATAACAAAGACAATGATATCATATAATCTATTGTAGTGTTATGTGTTTGTGACATTGTCATCCTTTATAACAAAGACAATGATATCATATAATCTATTGTAGTGTTATGTGTTTGTGACATTGTCATCCTTTATAACAAAGACAATGATATCATATAATCTATTGTAGTGTTATGTGTTTGTGACATTGTCATCCTTTATAACAAAGACAATGATATCATATAATCTATTGTAGTGTTATGTGTTTGTGACATTGTCATCCTTTATAACAAAGACAATGATATCATATAATCTATTGTAGTGTTATGTGTTTGTGACATTGTCATCCTTTATAACAAAGACAATGATATCATATAATCTATTGTAGTGTTATGTGTTTGTGACATTGTCATCCTTTATAACAAAGACAATGATATCATATAATCTATTGTAGTGTTATGTGTTTGTGACATTGTCATCCTTTATAACAAAGACAATGATATCATATAATCTATTGTAGTGTTATGTGTTTGTGACATTGTCATCCTTTATAACAAAGACAATGATATCATATAATCTATTGTAGTGTTATGTGTTTGTGACATTGTCATCCTTTATAACAAAGACAATGATATCATATAATCTATTGTAGTGTTATGTGTTTGTGACATTGTCATCCTTTATAACAAAGACAATGATATCATATAATCTATTGTAGTGTTATGTGTTTGTGACATTGTCATCCTTTATAACAAAGACAATGATATCATATAATCTATTGTAGTGTTATGTGTTTGTGACATTGTCATCCTTTATAACAAAGACAATGATATCATATAATCTATTGTAGTGTTATGTGTTTGTGACATTGTCATCCTTTATAACAAAGACAATGATATCATATAATCTATTGTAGTGTTATGTGTTTGTGACATTGTCATCCTTTATAACAAAGACAATGATATCATATAATCTATTGTAGTGTTATGTGTTTGTGACATTGTCATCCTTTATAACAAAGACAATGATATCATATAATCTATTGTAGTGTTATGTGTTTGTGACATTGTCATCCTTTATAACAAAGACAATGATATCATATAATCTATTGTAGTGTTATGTGTTTGTGACATTGTCATCCTTTATAACAAAGACAATGATATCATATAATCTATTGCAGTGTTTATCAATTCTTTGAGCATGTTCTCCTGTTAACGATTGTGCTTTTAATGGGTTTAAAATTAAAAACTGAATTCATGAGATAAACAAGTAACATATTCCTTGATATATATCAGAATCATATAGTCAGTGTTAATTCTCAATGCAAATTTACAGGAAAACATCTATTTTCTTCATATCAGTATACAGCAGTATCAGGGAAAGACAGCAAACTATTGCATATCCATAAGCAGAAAGAACTTAGGTTACTATCTAAGAATTGCGCCAGAGGGACCCATATTTACACTTAATAGCCAGAAGGAAAGTCTGAATGGGCCTAGTGATACAATGATATATCTCTATATCTTATTTCTATCTTTCAGCACTTGTTGTCACTGGTGTTGCAATTACCATATCTGAACAGAGAGGTAAGAAAAGGGGGAGCACTCTGTCAAACTTCAAATATTTGTCAAAATTTTGTTAATTATTTGGTTGGAACCAGTCATCCGCAGGCCCATATTATGAAATGCATTACGAGATAAACTAGATTGGAATACTGAAATCACAAATGGGTCACTTAATTAAGTGAATAGAATATGTTTTGTTAATAAAAAATTACAATTTCTCATTTGTAATTTACTTCAACCTTCATTCTTACTTTCTTATTCACCAAGTCAATCTTACTCAAACTCAATTACAAATATGTGTGTGTTTAACATTCATAAGTTGAAATCAAACATTTGCACACAGTGCTTTATAGACATAATATCAAAGTTTTACTTTCTGCACAAACAATGTACGTATTAAACAAATGTCGCAATGTTTCAAGACCGACTGGTCCCTTGGTGAAGCTATGACTGAGTCTGACAAAGGACATTGTTTTTGGAGAACATAAAACTGTGATATTACTGCATAATTCCAAACTGATGAATCTTATTGAAGAAACAAGGATTTACATTTCTCTTTTTTAACTCCAACAGGATGGCACAGTCTGGTTTTCTTTATTGGTGGTTTCCTGTGTGTAATACCTGGAGGTAGGTCTACTTTATTTTACCTCAGACAAGAATGACATTAATTTAAAATCTTCAAATGATTATTTGGAAGGTAATAATGAATCAATATTAAAGAAATTATTTGGATACACATAGTCGTAGAAATAACAGGTAAATAGCCTCTTTTTCTGTTAAGTTAAGATTTTTGTGGTGATCAAACCTCCTGTCTTTCTTTAAACTTAAGATTTTTGTAGGGATAAAACCTGCTGTATTTCTGTAAAGTTAAGATTTCCAATATAGTCTCCATGTTGAGTTAAGGTTTGTGATGAGGTGATAGACAAAATGCCACCGTTCTGTTAATTTATGGTTTGTGATGCTACAAAAACAGATTTTCTGAGATGATCTATGATAAAATGCCTCCTTACAAGCTGGCTAGGAGGAATATCCCTGATATCATGTGTGTCGTGTGATAGTGATATACAAGCTGGCTAGGAGGAATATCCCTGATATCATGTGTGTAGGGTGATAGTGATATACAAGCTGGCTAGGAGGAATATCCCTGATATCATGTGTGTAGGGTGATAGTGATATACAAGCTGGCTAGGAGGAATATCCCTGATATCATGTGTGTAGGGTGATAGTGATATACAAGCTGGCTAGGAGGAATATCCCTGATATCATGTGTGTAGGGTGATAGTGATATACAAGCTGGCTAGGAGGAATATCCCTGATATCATGTGTGTAGGGTGATAGTGATATACAAGCTGGCTAGGAGGAATATCCCTGATATCATGTGTGTAGGGTGATAGTGATATACAAGCTGGCTAGGAGGAATATCCCTGATATCATGTGTGTAGGGTGATAGTGATATACAAGCTGGCTAGGAGGAATATCCCTGATATCATGTGTGTAGGGTGATAGTGATATACAAGCTGGCTAGGAGGAATATCCCTGATATCATGTGTGTAGGGTGATAGTGATATACAAGCTGGCTAGGAGGAATATCCCTGATATCATGTGTGTAGGGTGATAGTGATATACAAGCTGGCTAGGAGGAATATCCCTGATATCATGTGTGTAGGGTGATAGTGATATACAAGCTGGCTAGGAGGAATATCCCTGATATCATGTGTGTAGGGTGATAGTGATATACAAGCTGGCTAGGAGGAATATCCCTGATATCATGTGTGTAGGGTGATAGTGATATACAAGCTGGCTAGGAGGAATATCCCTGATATCATGTGTGTAGGGTGATAGTGATATACAAGCTGGCTAGGAGGAATATCCCTGATATCATGTGTGTAGGGTGATAGTGATATACAAGCTGGCTAGGAGGAATATCCCTGATATCATGTGTGTAGGGTGATAGTGATATACAAGCTGGCTAGGAGGAATATCCCTGATATCATGTGTGTAGGGTGATAGTGATATACAAGCTGGCTAGGAGGAATATCCCTGATATCATGTGTGTAGGGTGATAGTGATATACAAGCTGGCTAGGAGGAATATCCCTGATATCATGTGTGTAGGGTGATAGTGATATACAAGCTGGTGTGTAGGGTGATAGTGATATACAAGCTGGTGTGTAGGGTGATAGTGATATACAAGCTGGTGTGTAGGGTGATAGTGATATACAAGCTGGTGTGTAGGGTGATAGTGATATACAAGCTGGTGTGTAGGGTGATAGTGATATACAAGCTGGTGTGTAGGGTGATAGTGATATACAAGCTGGTGTGTAGGGTGATAGTGATATACAAGCTGGTGTGTAGGGTGATAGTGATATACAAGCTGGTGTGTAGGGTGATAGTGATATACAAGCTGGTGTGTAGGGTGATAGTGATATACAAGCTGGTGTGTAGGGTGATAGTGATATACAAGCTGGTGTGTAGGGTGATAGTGATATACAAGCTGGTGTGTAGGGTGATAGTGATATACAAGCTGGTGTGTAGGGTGATAGTGATATACAAGCTGGTGTGTAGGGTGATAGTGATATACAAGCTGGTGTGTAGGGTGATAGTGATATACAAGCTGGTGTGTAGGGTGATAGTGATATACAAGCTGGTGTGTAGGGTGATAGTGATATACAAGCTGGTGTGTAGGGTGATAGTGATATACAAGCTGGTGTGTAGGGTGATAGTGATATACAAGCTGGTGTGTAGGGTGATAGTGATATACAAGCTGGTGTGTAGGGTGATAGTGATATACAAGCTGGTGTGTAGGGTGATAGTGATATACAAGCTGGTGTGTAGGGTGATAGTGATATACAAGCTGGTGTGTAGGGTGATAGTGATATACAAGCTGGTGTGTAGGGTGATAGTGATATACAAGCTGGTGTGTAGGGTGATAGTGATATACAAGCTGGTGTGTAGGGTGATAGTGATATACAAAATGTCTGACAATTGTGGCTGTATTTACCTTCTACAGAAAAAAATTGACACAAATTTTGATATTTGAGTATATATTAAATGTGGGATAACTTTAAAGAATCTTTCAATGTATTACACTGTATTCAGTTTAAAGGACATAAGTTTCTTTAAAGATATTAAATTTATGAAATATAGGACATAATGTTGTATGTTTCAGTGTACCATGTGGTGTATATATACCTGGCCGTGACCCAGAGAGCTGGCTACAATCTCTATAACTTACCGGTGTTTAAATGACCTCACGTCAAAACTTCACCCCAACTTAGTCCGGAAGTGTTCAACACAAACCGGGGAACAATCAAACCCACACTGATGTTGCCTTGCACAAGTTCCTGTACTGAATGTGGTCTCACTCCGAAGGAATTACACTGCCAGATTACACAGAATAGGCTGAATATTCAATAGAATCATCAGATTCTCTTTCAGAGAAACCTTGTCATCCACATTTTATAGTCTTTAAACAAGAACATTCAGTTCTTTTTGTTTCATTTTACAGGTCATTTTCTATGTCATTGAAATGACAGTATTTTGAAAATATTGGAATAGAAAAATATGTGCATTAATAAATTCCCGGTAGTCCAATTTCTTTGATCTTTAAAATGGAGACACTGTAAACCAGGAAATTCTTACCCTGTCAAAGTCTCACAGCCTGATGTTAATTTCACCCAGTCAAACTCTCACAGCCCGACATTAATTTCACCCAGTCAAACTCTCACAGCCCAACTTTAATTTCACCCAGTCAAACTCTCACACTTCTTGAGTAAAGTCTACATCAGCCCAACGCTAATTTCACCCAGTCAAATTCTGACACTTTTCGAGTAAAGTCTACATCAGCCCGACGTTAACTTCACCCAGTCAAACTCTCGCACTTCTCGAGTAAAATCTACATCAGTCCGACGATAATTTTACCCAGTCAAACTCTCACACTTCTCAGTAAAATCTACATCAGCCCGACGTTAATTACACCCAATCAAACTCTCACACTTCTCAGTAAAATCTACATCAGCCCAACGCTAATTTCACTTTTCCCATGTAACTTCTGTCAGAATATAATCGGCTTCATTATGGCGACAAAAAGGCAAAAAGATAACAAATGGCAAAAATTTCTTGGTATACAGCAATATCTATAGAATAACAACGTTTTACAATTTCTCCTGGATGTTTTGAATTGAAACTAAGACAAAATGTATTCAAATATCAAAATACTCAATAATGTCCCTAATAGTGTCCAGTTGAGTGATATAAATGTGTGTTCTCTGATGTCTATAGACTTGTACAGTATTGAGATATATTAGTGTATATATGGAGGAGTTCTATGGGCCTGTTGTGTATGTAATTAATTGTGTGTGAAAACTACCTGTGCAATATAGTAATTTATGATGTAAGAGAGTGACCTTATAAAAAACTAGGTGGAATTTCTATACTAGTAACCTAATCACCTACAATAAAATATTTACAATATGGGTAAGTTCACTTATATGCAACATTACAGGGATAAGAAATAACCTATATAAGTGGATCATGGGATAATTTCTACAGGATTCGATGAGTCTATAACCTATGAGTTAGGTTTGTCCCGGAGTATAGCTTCAGTATTATGCTTATAAATGAGGGATGTACATTTGTTCTATTTTATGTACAACTTAGCCTGACCCATAACTTTATACTAAGGAATATAAATAAACCTGTAAACCTCATTCTATAGGGTGTAAGTAAGCTTATATAACATTGTTCTACAGGATGTAAGTAAGCTTATATAACATTGTTCTATAGGATGTCAGTAAGCCTATGTAACATTGTTTTATGCGATGTAAGTTAACCTACATTACTTTGTTCTGTGGGAACTAGTTTACACAGAAATGGTGTGATCAACTGATATTGCTCTTGATGTGTGTGTTTACCAGTATAACTCTGTTTAAGGAAAACAAAAACTCTGCAATATTAATAAATATTGTTCTTCATTCTTTAAATCAATGATTTTCTATCCATATAGAAAATATTATACTAACATGTATTATCCCATCAGATATTTATTGCCCATTGAAATGTCAAACAGGTTGATTCCGTTACTAGGATGTGTCTCACCTGGAGATGATACCCACCTGTCGATACACTGTTATGTTGTGATTAGTTTATTAAGGATATATTAGGTTGATATTTGTAAATACATCTGTATATAAATGTTTTAGGTTGTGTAAATATGTGTTTTTACGAAGGTGAGATGATAATATGTTTAATATGACAATAAAACCTTACTAATCTGACATCTTGGGGGGGCTACAATAAAAAACTTTTTAATATGACATCCAGCTACAAAACCGGTAGGATATGACATTCTATAATAAAAACTTTTTTATTAGTCATCTTGCAAAAAAACCTTTGTAATCTGACATCCTACAATATAACCTTAATAATCTGACATCCTTCAAACAAAACCTTTGTTATCTGACCTAAACAAAACCTTTGTAATCTGACCTAAACAAAACCTTTGTAAGCTGACCTCCAAAACAAAACCTTCATAATATGACATCTTTTGAACAAAACCTTTGTTATCTGACATCCTACAGTGAAACCTCTGTAATATGACATCCACAAACTAATCCTTTGTAATTTGTCATCCTATAATAAATAATAAACCCTTTGTAATCTGTCATCCTACAATAAATAATAAACCCTTTGTAATCTTACTTCCACTTACACAATAATTGTGTTCTGACAACTAGCTTTAAAACCTTTTAATTTGACATACTGCACTAAAGGTTTTTTCATTTGAAATAAAATGTTTGTTATCTTATATCTTGCAACAAACACTCTTGTAATCTGATATTTTGCAATGATGTTTTCCCCCCACAACATTCAGTAGACTTGGGAAATAGTGGTTGTCTGGGTAACAACTCTGTGTTATTATCTTAGTGTGGTTGTCTAGGTAACAACTCTCTGTGTTATTATCTTAGTGTGGTTGTCTAGGTAACAAGTCTCTGTGTTATTATCTTAGTGTGGTTGTCTAGGTAACAACTCTGTGTTATTATCTTAGTGTGGTTTTCTAGGTACCAACTATCCATGTTATTATCTAGTGTGGTTGTCTAGGTAACAACTATCCATGTTATTATCTAGTGTGGTTGTCTAGGTAACAACTCTCTATGTTATTATCTTAGTGTGGTTGTCTAGGTAACAACTCTGTGTTATTATCTTAGTGTGGTTGTCTAGGTAACAACTCTCTGTGTTATTATCTTAGTAAGGTTGTCTAGGTAACAACTCTCTGTGTTATTAGATCACCTGGCACAAAGTGCCAAGTGAGCTTATGCCGTGGCGCGGCGTCCGTCGTCCGGCCGTCAGGCCGTCCGGCGTCAATATTTTACTTTAAACGACTTCTTCTGAATAACCGAAAGGCCGAGGGTGTCGATATTTGGCCAGAAGCAAACTTGGATGAAGGGCTACAAAGTTTGTTAAAGTTAATGACCTTCACCTATTTTCAAGGTCACAGTGGTCAAATATGTTAAAAACTTCAAACATCTTCTTCTCAATAACCAAACTGCCCAGGGAGATAATATGTGGCCAGTAGCATGTTTGGGTGAAGGGCTACCAAGTTTGTTCAAATGAATGACCTTCAATTATATTCAAGGTCACAGGGGTCAATTGTCTTAAAAAACCTTAAAACAACCTCTTCTTAATAACCAAAATGCCCAGGGTGATGATATTTGGGCAATAGCATGCTGAGATGAAGGGCTACAAAGTTTGTTCAAATGAATGACCTTCACCCATATTCAAGGTCACAGGGGTCAAATATGTTAAAAACTTTAAACAACTTCTTCTGAATAACCAAAATACCCAGGGTGGTGATATTTGGCCAGTAGCATGCTGAGATGAAAGGCTATAAAATTTGTTCAACATAATGACTTTGTTCGTCTTTCAATAATAGGGGTGAAATGTTTAAAAAAAAAATAACAGGGTCTTGTGAATGAATTTTAATCATAAATACTGATATTTTGCCTGTAGCTTTATTTTAAATCACTTTTAAGGTTACAAGTGTGAGATTTATACCAGTTGAGCGATGCAGGCCCATTGGGCCTCTTGTTATCTTAGTAATGTAAGGTTGTCTAGGTAACAACTCTCTGTGTTATTATCTTAGTGTCGTTGTCTAGGTAACAACTGTCCATGTTATTATCTTAGTAAGGTTGTCTAGGTAACAACTCTCTGTGTTATTATCTTGGTGTGGCTGTCTAGGTAACATCTCTGTGCTATTATCTTAGTGAGGTTGTCTAGGTAACAACTGTCCACGTTATTATCTTAGTAAGGTTGTCTAGGTAACAAGTCTCTGTGTTATTATCTTGGTGTGGCTGTCTAGGTACCAACTCTCTGTGTTATTATCGTAGTGTCGTTGTCTAGGCAACAACTGTACATGTTGTTATCTTAGTAAGGTTGTCTAGGTAACAAATATCCATGTTATTATCTTAGTGTGTTTGTCTAGGTATCAACTCTCTGTGTTATTATCTTGGTGTGGCTGTCTAGGTACCAACTCTCTGTGTTATTATCGTAGTGTCGTTGTCTAGGTAACAACTCTCCATGTTATGATCTTAGTAAGGTTGTCTAGGTAACAAATATCCATGTTATTATCTTAGTAATGTTGTCTAGGTAACAACTCTATGTGTTATTATCTTAGTTTTGCTGTCTAGGTAACAACCTAGGTAACAACTCTCTGAGTTATTATCTTAGTGTGGTTGTCTTGGTAACAACTCTCTGTGATATTATCTTAGTGTGGCTGTTGTTATTATCTTGGTGTGGCTGTCTAGGTAACAACTCTCTGTAACAACTCTCTGTGTTATTATCTTAGTGTGGCTGTCTAGGTAACAACTCTGTGCTATTATCTTAGTGTGGTTGTCTAGGTAACAACTCTCTGTGTTATTATCTTAGTGTGGTTGTCTAGGTAACAACTATCCATGTTATTATCTTAGTAAGGTTGTCTTGGTAACAACTCTCTGTGTTATTATCTTAGTGTGGTTGTCTAGGTAACAACTCTCTGTGTTATTATCTTAGTAAGGTTGTCTTAGTATGAGGGAGACTTTGCATTAGTTTTATTGGATCCTTATTTAAATCATTTCTTGTCTGGACCATAGCTAATCATTTCTTGTCTGGGCCATAGCTAATCATTTCTTGTCTGGACCATAGCTAATCATTTCTTGTTTGGACCATAGCTAATCATTTCTTGTCTGGACCATAGCTAATCATTTCCTGTCTGGACCATAGCTAATCATTTCTTGTCTGGGCCATAGCTTTTAAATGGTAAAAGATATCTTGATGAAATTTGAATAATACTTGCATGGCACACAGAAAGTGTGCTATGCACTGTAATAAGGTCCCATGAAGGTCAAAGGTCGTGCAAAAAATTTCAGTAAAATCTTGTCCCGAATGTAGGTTTTTAAACAATTGAAGGTATCTTTGATAAATCCTGAAGTATACCTGTATCACCCAGCGAGGATGTGCAATGTATGGTACTTCTAGGTCACTGTGACATATTTGAAGTTCAAACAAATATTTGTATGCTTAATAGAGGTAGTGATATGATGTTGTTCACAAAAACAAATCTTTAGTATCCTTTGTGTCGGCAATCTTTTAGTATCTGAAATAGCTCATTTGTTTTGGTTCTGATTAAGATAGTATCTTAATGATATATAAATACCGAATAGTATCCTGTCAACATAAGGAAGAGCGATCTGTAAGTAAAGTACCTCTACATGTTTATCATTTTTTATCATCTCCTTCCCTGTTGATTTATTGTTCCCAATGTAATGGAATATTTCTGTAGATAGAGTTAGTGCTACAAAGTTAGAGACAATTCCACAACAGTGTCTTATAATAGAAATAAGAAATGTTTTATTTTTTTATTTTTGATAATTTATTTATGATTTTAATAAAACAAAACATTGTTTCTTTTTGTTTGTATATGTAAGGGTGTGTTTGTGTGGGTTTTTTTGTTTGTTTGTATGTGTGAGGGTGTGTATGTGTGGGGTTTTGTTGTTGTTTGACAAACACATCATTCACATCATGGTGGCTATATGCACATTGATTACCACTCATACTAGTAGATAGAGCTAAGCATTAGGTGAAGCATTAGTAATGTGGTGCATACACAAAGTTATTGGCTTTACAAATAGTACAACATACATGTAATGCCAAAACTCTTCAGTAAACTGTAGTGCTTATGTATGGAATAAGTTCACTTTGTGTTCTGTACAGTACACTAGAGGGTTGATGTATGGTATGAGTTCACTTTGTGTTCTGTACAATAAACTAGAGAGTTGATGTATGGTATGAGTTCACTTTGTGTTCTGTACAGTAAACCAGAGGGTTGATGTATGGTATGAATGTATTTTGTGTTATGTACGGTGAACTAGAGTGTTGATGTATGGTGTGAATGTACTTTGTGTTATGTAGTTCTGTATTGTGAACTAATGGACAGAATGTATGGCATTACTTAACTTAATGTTGAATACAGGAAACTATCTGTCAAGGATTGATTATGGCATTAGTTCTCTAAGTGTACAGAACATTACACTAGAAAGCTGATTTTGTTCACTCAGTGTTGTGTATACAGTAGAGAAATGATTGAGTTCACTCCGTGTTGTGTTCAGTAAACCAGAGGGTTGATACATTAGCTTATACTGTGTTCTGTACTGTTACTGGAGAAATGATGTACAATATAAGTTCACTTTGTGTTCTAAATAGTAAACTAGAAGACAGAATGATGGAATGAGTTCACGTGATGTTCTTTCTGTACAGTACATATGTAAACTAGATGACAAATGTATGTATGAGTTTACTTAATGTGTGATGATAATTATTTAATTTATATAACCATATTGTATTTCATTTATTTGTAACTATTTGTGACTGACAAACAATAATCATCATATATGTTATAATATTTAAGGTAAATGAATCAAAATGGCCATTAAGACCTATTATTACCTTTTAATATATATAGAAATGTCAATTATTACTACAGAATCCATAGAAATCCGCGAGAGTTTTGATAAAGAAGATGTATGTGAGGTCTAATGCTATTCAAAATCAAATTTTTGTGACAGGTTACAATCAATGTTGTTTTGAATAGTGAACAGGGAAAATGGTATTTATTTAAAACACATTTAATATTTGGTTCTTTTTTCCTTTTTAATATTTAATATCGCATGTCAGAACTGTTTTCTACTATATTGTACAACATTGCCCTATCCTGCGACTATGACTTATTTGACAACAAATTGTTTGGTTTCCTTTTGACTTCCACACTAAATGAGAGTATGAGGTTAAATGATACCCAGGGCCACAGTTCTCGAGTTATAAATTACTTTCTAATCACAAACAACCAATCAAAGGCCACCTGAACTTGAAAGGGACTAAATATTTGTTTGACAAATAAGGTTTGTCTCAATTTGAATACAATGATGTAGCATGGGTCTATCAATTCATGTATACTTGTATTTCTTTTACCGATAACTGTGATACTTGTTATATGTACTCTGTATGTTTTCATATTTTATTTAGTTTTTCCCACCAGAATATGACATTCCCTTTCCACTTCTCCAAGTGTTATAAAAAGACAATTTGTAAGCATGTTGTTAATTGCCGAATATACAAATTAATTCTGTTCGGTTGTGT